CCATACGTCCTTCTCAATATCGACTTTAAATGGCTTTCGTCCAAAACGTCGCCTTTCATTTTTCCCCAATTCCCAGGCACTGGTGCTTACGATGCAGAGGTCGCACTTGACGCGACTGCCCTTGAGCGATCATCACGTCAGCAGCAGCCCGCCCTGCCACAGGCACAGCCCTCTGTCTCGCATGACGTCTATTGCTCCGTGCGCCTCGAACAGGGACCACGGCCCGTAAAACAGATCAACTTTGGAGGCTCGCAATGCTCGTCTATAAACAAAGTCCCTCGTATAACGAGATTTTTGATTCTCAATGTTCTCGACGAACGGTCCTTACGAACCAAAAGCCGATAAACGAAACGTGTGTTATTTGATTTTTTTTTTGCGAAACGTGTTACAACGATGCGTTTGACACGCCGAAAATAGACAACGCAAGAACTTAACCCAAACCACACAACATTTATAACGTAAATGACAAGTTTTTTAGCTACCACGGTGCTACAAACTACAAAAGGCTATAACGCCTTGCAATGACAGTTTGCCCCAAAACGGACACATTTATGGACTATTGGCCTTAAAACAGGTCTGCACTGTCTGTTCACCACTGTAATGACCTGGAGCAAACGGTCATGCAGCCAGTAGCTCTTGCGCATTGCATACAAGTGCAACCGAATATGGCAATGTGCAGTAACACACTGGCTTGCCACTCGCACTTACTACAATCGACAGCTCGGCTGTACTGTTTCAAACTAGCAGTGATTGGCAACGGTACAGTTCACACCGATATTTCATCCTATAGAACTAGGCCGATCGAACGCTTGAGGCAAACCAAAACACGAGGAAAAGGACAAGCAAGTCGCGACGCCGGCAGGGTTAAGGAAAGGCTGGAAATGAATATGGTGGTCCAGCATCTGAACACACGACATTGTCACGTAGAGCCAAAAGCCAGAACTTAGGAACGGCAACGAACACTCGTTAACAACGTAAATGTGCTTTGAAAATTGAAAAGGTCAAACAGAACAGCGTGGAAGGACAAAGTTGTTAAAAGAATGGATGGCGTGGAACGACGGGGAACAAAAGAAGACAACATAATGGGTAGCGGTGGTTTTCATGACGTGTATAACCACACAAACACTGCAGCTGGTTCCTCGCGGTTGTGGACAAGCCCATTTACCCACAATCAGCCACATCTGTGACCGACTCACGATCTGGTCCATAGGCTACTGAACGGCCTACAGTGCAATACTTATAGGCCGGATCCCTCACATCTTCCCTCAGCTCTAGGACCTGGGCTGGTGATATTCGTTGACGCATGATCGCAATGGTCGTGGAGTCCAGTCTTAGCTACCTAGTGGGCGCAGCACCACTCACTGAATCAAAAGCACTGTGCACTATCATCGCTGGAATAGTATACGCTGAACGATATCGTGCGTCTGATCAATGTTGGGCATACTGGGAAACTACCACTGGAGCAATAAGATCAACTACACCTACTGGACACAAAAGGAAAGTAGCATACGCTAGGCAACTTTCAGTCGACAGTAGATGATCTCCACAAGTAAATAAGGAATGCAGCTCGACGTTCAAGAACAGCGATTGTCATAGTTCGTCAACACAGGCACACGCAGGTGAAACGCTTCCCTCATGAGTCATGGACAACTGAGAGAGAGCCCGACTGGCCCGAGCTGCTCGTCACACTCCGGACGAGGCAGACGAAAAGGGTCTCTGTAGAATGGCATCGGTCTCGCCATCCATCAACACTCAATGGAAAACCAACTTGTGCGCACCGCATGGCGGTATAAAGTTATATCGAAAATACCGCACAGGACTACATGCACAGCATGCATATGCTTATTACCTAACGATGATGTCGTGATATGCGACGATATGTTAGCCCATTCCCATTAGTAAGCTATTATTAAGCTGCAAAATCAAGTTCTCATCACAAGATAATGCTGCACTTAAAAAGGTACTGTTTCTTGTACAATATATGATCTCTTGACTGACTGCTATTTATGAGGAATTAAATCGCTCACCTTAACAATGAATTATCGTTACAAAAAGAATATGGACGCCATCCCATCTCTACAACGAGGCGGCCATAGCGTCAGAGTGTTCACTTGTCGTTCGCGTACCCACGGCGGCGCCACCAGCGAACCATTGCTTCAAGTCTATGGCATGACAGACATTGAAGCCCAGTCTAGTCTGCCAGAAAGGACAGACTGTAAGTGGCAGACACGTCGCGCATCACAACTAACCGGAAAACTACGATCAGCTACTCAAATATGATACCCGTCCAGACCACATTTCTACACATGCTAGAAAAGCATACAAAAAGCTATGCTCACTAAATTCGCCCCTCGATTCCAGTGGTGGACACATTATATGTCCATGACCCATGCACACCCACATAAAAATTGGTAACCAGGCTGGCATCTTAGGCAAGAGTTCTGCTAAACTGGACATAATTTTGGGTGTCAATGAAGGACGATACGGAGTACCAAAGATTATGAACCTTATCTGCCCTTCCCATGTCACTTCCTACTCACTGTGATTCAATGGAGTGGGATGTAGGAGATGCGTATAAGATACCCAGAACTGAAATGCAAGCTGTAAAACATGCGGTCACCCATTTCCAAATAAGGTAAAACGATATAGAAAATGTCTGCCAGCGGTGTGGAGGGACCATCTGAGGCCATCGCTTACATCGTCCACTAAGTCTCAGGCCACGAGTAGTTCTTCTGAGTCAACCGATAAAACTTCCGGTTGTGTGGTGCAAAAAAGCGGCGCAGCTTTTGTACCAGCTGCGGGTCGGTCGGAGGGTGCTTACGCCCTTTCGATTCAGCCAAACACTTACTGCCGTTATCGTTGGCAATGCAGTAGAAGCCTTTAGTGTCGTTGAAGTAGAAGTGGTTCTCATTGAGGTAGGGCGGTAGTCTGAGGTGCTTCTCGACACGGCGCAGCTCGGGCAGTGGCTCCCTCACCACCGGTCACCATCCACTATGAGCAGCGCCTCCGACGGGAAGTGCTGCAGCCAGCGGCGCACGTGCCGGTGGTAGATGGAGATCTTGACGAGGCGCGACTCGGTGCGCACAGAGCCGTTCGGGCGCAGCACGAGCTCGGGAAGCCGTAGCCGCGGCTTGCCGCCCCGAGCCCCCTTGTCCAGGTACTGAGCGTAGTCGGAGATGAGCCGCGCCACTGGCTCGCGAACCACCACCAGTAGACGGATCGTCTGATTCATGCGGGCCACCTGGTGGAGAACGGAGAACCGTCACATCTCCAGACACAGCGTCGAGCGACCGCAGCTGCTGTGAAATGCCAACATAAAACATTCACGCTATGAAGGCGTGCTATTCAATACTGTATACACCGTCAATGTCATTGATAGCAGTTTATAAGCAAAGGAGTCTGTGTGAGCGACCCGTCCCCGGCCGCGGCGCAGCGGCCACTGACCCGTTCTGGAACCGTCTGTGTCACCAGGTAGCTGGGAGACTTCTCCACAGTGATCTGGTCGTCGAACGAGAGCGGCATGCGCCGCCGGTACCAGTCCAGGCCGCGCCGGTAGTTGTTGTCGCGGTCGAAAAAGTGGACCTCACGCGAGGCCCGCATCACCTGCAGGACCACCAATGGCACGATCGGTCAGGTCCCGGTGCGTTCTGGTCTCCGGACACTCATCACACACCGAGCAGCACAAGGAAAGACTAGAGAAAAAAGACAACGTGCGAGCCAGCAATCAACAGGCGGCCACATCCAGAACATAGCATGCCCTTCTTTAGTTCATTAAGCCGATAATGAATCTCACTACCAGCTTAATTCATGAAAAGGGCGACCCTTCTGAATCAAAGGAGCCGAACGAAACTGAATCTTTAGACTGCTGGAATGAAAATTAATTGTTGGTGCCCTTTTCCTATAATCATGACCGTGATTAAGAACATTGCATAAAAGCTGGCAAAAACACGAACGAAATTGGCCGACTAGGTCACACCTTATAATTCGCCCAAAGCGTAAAGGGAAGTACGGCGAAGTCAGCCGGTCTCACCTGTGGGTGGACGTTCATCATCTCGAGCAGTGCACGCGTCCCAGCCTTGCGTGCGCCGATGATTATGGCTCCCGGCAGCCGTCGCCGTGTGTGTGGGAAGTGGAGGCGGCCGGCCCCGGCGCGCGCACACCACCGTGCCCGGAGAGGAGTAGCACAGCCGGTACAGGAGCATAGTGACGACGAGCAGCAGCAGCAGCACGGTGGTGACCAGCAGCCGGCGGCAGCGGCCGGCCGGCGCCTCCCCGCCCCACATCCCTGACCAGCATCGGAGCCGGCCGCCCGGCCACCCGACGCCCGTCGCCACGCTACAATCAGTGGCACCGCCGCTGGCGGTCAGCGGGGGACGGCAAACGGGGCTGCCGTCAGTCCACGAGCGCATCATATGGTACACATATTGCCAGGTCCGTTGTCATTTACAAAAGACAGACCATATTACAGCCAGCTTTAGTTAGTGACACTGACCTCATATCGCCTAATCTGATACACTCGCCTAACCACAGACTTCTCTAAATAGAGTGGGCTGTGACTTGATTTAGGTACCTGATATGGCTATGTGGTACCTGATATGGCTATGTGGTACCTGATATGGCTATGTGGTACCTGATATGGCTATGTGGTACCTGATATGGCTATAATTGAAACGATGTCAAATTTCTAAAAGAAATTCGTTTTCTTCTAGACGTATTCATTCTAATTAATGATCGATGGTGCATGCATGGTCTGTTCTGTCAACAGTATGTTTGATATCTTTGCACCAGATTTTATGGAGGGATATGTAAACTGTTATCTCCCAATTGATATCTGTAAAATTAGCAAAGTTAGTAAATAACACAAAGAAAATATGCCATTCAGACAGATATGCTAGGCAAATACATCATAAATGCATATGCATGGATCAATAGCTTATATACGCATCTACACACCATTTATTAGCAGCCCTAGCAAATAAGTTCACTCACCACAAACACACAAGTGAGGACCTGCGGAAGCCAATGATGCAGCAAATGGATGTGACTGAGCAGCAATCACTCACATTCTGTAACAGAAGAAGTAGGTAACTGATGTGTACCGAGCCAGATAAGACAACATTCATCCCATTTTTTACTTGCTGTTAATAGGTTAATTGTTATAAAGGATTCTTAATTTCTTACACAAAAACTACAACATTATTTAATGGACATTGCTAAGTGCTAACGACCGAGGGGGGTGTCACCCCCATAGTTTTTTTTTGCCATAACTCCGAACACGCCGGTGAAAGAGGGCTGAAACTTAGTATACCGTAAAGTGGGGCTATTTGAGACAGTGGGGCTATTTGAGACAGTATTTAAAATCGCTATAAAATGAAGATCGTTTGATTTTTGTGTGATATTTTTGCTAAGAGAGGTGTGGAATCGAGCAGTAAATCGCCTGAGTAAAAAATTAAGCATAAATTTTAAGTGGTTTTTATTTTACAGGAATTTTAAATACTGTCTCAAATAGCCCCACTGTCTCAAATAGCCCCACCTTACGGTACCTGACCTTTGATTCAAGCCAGATCTTGTGACACCAAACACGTTTTCAGGTCAGGTCAGGTCACTGACCTATGACGTCATAAGTGAACCTCTGCACGGTCTTCAGATGTCGCAACTTCGCAATGCCCTCAACGCCAGAGGAATTTTCACAAGGAGATGAAACCTACAGGACGTAGTATCATCCAGAGGTCTCGATAACTTTTGAGGTTGCATGATGTCAGGTCAGTCAAGTGACATCACCATTATAAGTCAATGGGGAAGAAATGATAACTGCTATTTTGGCACCCTGAACAATCTCAAACTATCTCAAGCACACGGAATAGTGATTTCATGCTTTCCTTGTTAGGTCTGATGGTTCACTTTTGCATTGTTGACCTTGCGTGGACGTCACTTCTACTAGGGTCCTGAATCATGATAGTTTTTCGCCAATAACTCCCGATTAAATTGAGCTAGCGAGTCGGGCAAGCCACCGATGAACTCAGAAAGACCTGCCGAATCGAATGATATGCGATATGACCTCCTTCGACCAACTTCGTGACTTGGGGGGGGGGGCTCTGACCTGACCTTGACCCCAGGGTCAATATCTTCAGTTGACCTCACATAAAAAAGCATACCATCAATGTGCCTGGGCAAGGGGAACACGATCAGGGCTGTGGAGCCGATGGATTTTAGGGTGACTCCGACCCCGACTGCAAAAATCGACTCCGACTCCGATTCCGGACGGTTCCCATATCGTGATATTGAAGCTCATAATGGAGATGTTTTTATCTTGCCTGAAATGATCCCCTGTGCGTTCCAAGGCTTTGCGTTGGAAATATGCATTACCTATAGATAACATGTAGAATTAAAAAGCAGGTTTGGGGAATTCACCGTCTTCTGCTTCTTTCGCTGAAGAAGTTTGTCCAAAACAGCAAAGTGCTTTTTATTACAAAATCTAATTTCGACTGCAGTATCGTCAACCAAACAGGTGCAGTGCATCATGATGACGTTGAGCCATATAGCGTTAACTCCGACTCCGGAGTCGGAGTCTGTAAGATTTTCGCGACTCCAGCTCCGACTCCGACTCCGGGCAGAACTGTCGACTCCGACCAACTCCAAGTCCGACTCCGATTCAGACTCCGCAGCCCTGGACACGATGATGCCAAAATAGCTGCTCTATGACCGTTTGTTGTGAAGTTATTTATCAAAAACCAAACCTGTGCATTGGACCATTTGACCTGACCTCAAAGGTCACAGTTTGGCCTGACCCCTTAAAATAGGGAACCATTCCCTGCATCTCGTAATGGCGCACATGCTCGTTTTTCCACGACACTCTAGCTCCATCAGGGGCAAAATGGCGAAGGGGGTCATACCCAACCCCCTCGGCCGACGAGTATGTAGAAAACCAGTAGGCCCGGTGAGCATTAAACTGCTAAGTGCTAGGTAAGCAATACCAGTCATGTCTTAAATGCCTGTCATCTGGTAATCTTCTGGCTGGCATACCTATTTATATGAGCAGAGTTCTATTGTAGGTAAGCTATCCTTGACCTAATACCCGCTAACTTGATGGAAACAATAAGGTAATGGCACAGGGTACCTAAGCTCCTGGGACTGCTGAAAAATTGTGGCTTATGTCACCTAGGGTATGATGCATACGTAACACTATCTAGATCAATGCTATTCTTACCTGGTATTCTTACCTGGTAGGGTTCCCTTAGTCTTATTAGGATTTGATTGGGGATGGTCCGAGATGGGATAAGGAACCCAAGATTCTGAGATGCGCCAGTTCTCTAGGTAAACAACTGCCAATAAAGCCATCAGAGTACACACTACAACTGGAATAGAGCGTCTTCCAATGTGATAGTTAGCAACAAAATCAGTAAACTAGAGACTTGCAATGAGAATATCGACAATGTCCTAACCTAATCTAAACTAAGTGTATGCATACAGAGAGTTATGAAGGTGGGAGTGTAACAATTGTTTAAAGGTTTACAAGTTAGGAGCACATACTGCTTCCTCAGGCAATGAATTCCATGTATGTAGGTATACATCGAACAGAGAAGAAACGCTTTCTAACATCAGTGCGACTATGTGACAGGAGAATCTTGAAGCAGTGTCCTCTGGTTCGACCTTGGGGGGCCAGGTCAAACAGGTCTTTAGGCGATATGCAAGAGTGTCCATGGAAGACCTTCCAGCACTGGATGAGGTCAGCTCTTATTCTTAATAGTCTACCCTGAACTGAGTACAAGTCAAGTGTTTTTAGACGATCGCCGTAACTTAGGTTACACAACCCGGAGATGTATTTCGTCCATTTTCTTTGTACATTTTCTAACAGATGCAAGTCTTTAGAATATCCAGTGGACCAGACGCATGAACAATATTCAATATTGGACGAATAGAGTATTGAGTGGTGAAAAGGAAAGCGAGAACTCAGAGGATCTACAGACTGTGGATTTCAAAAGACTGTGAGCCAGCCCACCAGCCTTGTGGACAGTGGATTGGACGTGCTCATGGAACTTCAGGTATATGGACTACTATATCAATATGGACCTGAATGGCTAACAGCCCTCTGATACTAATGAATTCAAAACTGCATCAGACAGGATCATCTTTGGTCAAAACTGGGCTGGCCGCATCATAGCTTGCCAGATGTTGACAGGTGGATGACCAAAATGTTCCGATGGCAGCTGGCGCACTCTGGTAGCACATGATAAGTTAAATGGGTTCTCCTTACCACATCATTTTGTGGCAGTTACTGTACTTTTCAGAATTTGGATACATGACTGTTTTAGCAAACTTCTAGGTCAATTTATTGGGCCTTACCGGCCTTACCAACAACTTGAACTGGATAAAATCAGCTAAATGGCACTCATAGAAAATCAATAGATATTTAGTCGCTTATATCTAGCATTGAATATTGATACATACCTACCATAACGAAGCTCTGCTAGCGCCACCATATGGCGCCAGCTAGCAGATTATCCAGAAAATAGTATGGCCCAATTTATGGCATTAGTAGAGCAGACGTCACATGAAGGTTTTCCAACCAAGGAGAGGCGCTGTAGGTTTGTAGGTTGTAGGGTAGGCTTGTAGGTTGTAGGTTTTTAGGTTGTAGGTTTGTAGGTTAGGTTGGGTCAGGTTAGGTTAGGTTTGTTTAGGTTTTGTTAGAAAGAAGTACCTCCAGGCATGTACCTCTCCTTGGTTGGAAAACCTTCGTGTGACATCTGCTCTCAGCTCTACTTATACCCGATTTATTGCTCGCTCAATTAACCCGCGCCCCGTTGGGCTCTGCCGAGCAACGCGCCCCGTTGGGGGGGGGGGCATTTTGGCCCCCCCCCTAAGATCTCGAGAACCACGCAACCTAGCGACAAGCGGCAAACGGTGTTGGATAGCCCTATCAGGGAACTACCTTGTGACCCAATTTTATTGACCTAGGTCAAACCGATGACGTCACAGGTCAGGTCAAAGGTCCAATTTTCACCGTTTACAGGCATTTCAAGAAATGCATTGTAAAATCGAGTGAAATACATTTCATTGAAAATCATCGATGGGGAAATGTTCTTCAAACACATATTTTGCTAGTTGAAGTCACTGATACCAGGTCAGGTCACAGAGGTCAGGTCACTGGGGGGTCACAATATGAAAGTGTCGTGTGATACATGTTTTATGGTCCATTTTACATGACAAATGCGATTATGTGGGTCAGGCAGCCTTTGGGGCCAGCTTAGGTCACGTTTTGGTCAAGGTCAGGTCAAGGTCAGGTCAAGGTCAGGTCAAATTAGGTCAAATTTCAAAGTTGATATTTTTGCATAAAATGGGTATCGAATCGATGCAGCTCGTCACGGGGAGGTCAATGATGGTCTTTGTTTTTCCGTACGAGGTCTAGAATCGCTAAAAATTGAGTTAAAAAATTTGACGTTATCATTTTTTAACAGTTTTTTCGCTATAACTTGGCTCAAACATTGCTCGAACATTTTTGCTCGAACATGACCTCAGTTTGACCTCAATAACTCCTGACCTAAGGTGACCTAAGACTTGAAATTTGGTGTGAAGGTGTCAAATTGATGCCCGGGAAGGTACTGAAAATTCGGCGCGCGCAATTCAGGAAAAACCACAGGGGGGGGCCAAAATGGCCCCCCCAACGGGGCAAGGGTTAATGCTCTGTCACATATCAATATGCCTAACAATATGATTATGGTCAGTGGTTTTCCTTCTCATAGAATTTGGTGACAGGCATTGTAGTTTTTTTTAGACTAGTGACGGTTGCAAACATTTTCTAAGTTGATTTATTGATTGACAAAAAAAAACTTTTTCCAAGCAGGGCAAGGGTGACTAAAGGCGATTCTCGATGTTTTGAAGGTCTCGGTTCATGACAAATAATAATTCACCGTAAGCAATAAAACAACAACAGATAAGGAAAGTCAAAACAAATCTCACCAGTTAATCCAAATCCCTATTCCAATTTCCATACAAATTGAAATAGATATCTTGATCTTGCGTCTTGAAATTGAAATCTCGGAATTGCGGCATAGAGCAGTTGGGATTTGTTCAGAATTTCCAGCATGTCTTGCTGCTCCTGCTGTCGAAATCAAGTCCAAGTGCCATGACGTATGAATTTCAAAGCTAACCAATAAGCAGCCGCGAACAACAGAAGAACGAATAGTATGACGTCATAGTTTATGTCTACATTGCGTCATCTCCTGCCACTAGCCGAGGGCTGTTCACGGGCCCTGTGTGCGGTCGGACCGCACACAGCCTCGAAGCTCCGCCCACCGCGTCCCTACGTCAGCCTTCCGTCACCGCACACAGCGATCGCTGTGGCCGGTCGGAGGGCTGTTCACGGACCCTGTGTGCGGTCGGACCGCACACAGCCTCCAAGCTCCGCCCACTGCGTCCCTACGTCAGCCTTGCGTCACCGCACACAGCGACCGCTGTGGCCGGTCGGGACTGGCCACAGCGGACCGTCCACCGCACGCAGCCGTGACGTCAGAGCCGCCTACCCATCCCCTACCCCCACGCCTGCTGGACGTACCGCACACACCGCACGCAGCAGTGTGCGGTGCCCGTGAACACCCCTCAGGACTGGCCACAGCGACCGTCCACCGCACGCAGCCGTGACGTCAGAACCGCCTACCCATCCCCTACCCCCACACGGTCGTCAAGTTAGATGTAAGTGAATCCTAACTATAATCTAAGATTCGGAATCAGGTGAGCCCCTACGATTTGGACCAAACTTGGTCAGTGGATAGTACGTAACGTCCTGATTACGATGCACCCAAAATCTAAGCTCGGCCCGCCATATTTACGAAGTTACGGATGTTTGAATTTCAAGGTCATTCGGGAGAGCCCCTACGATTTCCGTCAAAATTTGTGTACGGACACTCTAGATGCTCCTCATTACGAATATCACAAAATTTAAGCTCGGCCCGCCATATTTACGAAGTTACGGAGGTTTGAATTTCAAGGTCATTTGGGTGAGCCCCTACGATTTCCGTCAAAATTTGTGTACGGACACTCCAGACGCTCCTCATTACGAATATCGCAAAATTTAAGCTCGGCCCGCCATATTTACGAAGTTACGGAGTCACAAAGTTACGGAATTTCAAGGTCATTCGGAGAGCCCCTCCGATTTTCGTCAAAATTTGTATGCGGACACATTACATGCTCCTCATTACGAATATCATAAAAGCTAAGCTCGGCCCGCACTATTTCAAAAGTTACTGACGTTTGAAACTCACTGAAATTCAAACATCTCTAACTTTTGAAATAGTGCGGGCCGAGCTTAGCTTTTATGATATTCGTAATGAGGAGCATGTAATGTGTCCGCATACAAATTTTGACGAAAATCGGAGGGGCTCTCCGAATGACCTTGAAATTCCGTAACTTTGTGACTCCGTTACTTCGTAAATATGGCGGGCCGAGCTTAAATTTTGCGATATTCGTAATGAGGAGCGTCTGGAGCAAGATTACTTTACTTATATACTTTACTTATATACTTATTACTTATATATATATACTTATGGTCTGGAGTGTCCGCACACAAATTTTTACGGAAATCGTAGGGGCTCACCCAAATGACCTTGAAATTCAAACCTCCGTAACTTCGTAAATATGGCGGGCCGAGCTTAAATTTTGTGATATTCGTAATGAGGAGCATCTAGAGTGTCCGTACACAAATTTTGACGGAAATCGTAGGGGCTCTCCCGAATGACCTTGAAATTCAAACATCCGTAACTTCGTAAATATGGCGGGCCGAGCTTAGATTTTGGGTGCATCGTAATCAGGACGTTACGTACTATCCACTGACCAATTTTGGTCCAAATCGTAGGGGCTCACCTGATTCCGAATCTTAGATTATAGATTAGGATTCACTTACATCTAACTTGACGACCGTTACCCCCACGCCTGCTGGACGTACCGCACACAGCGCACGCAGCAGTGTGCGGTGCCCGTGAACACCCCTCTGGTTCTGACTGGCTTACAATTTTTGTAATAGATATTAGAACACAGCTTAAGAATGATGACGAATGCGGCGCAACGGCGAACCACAGCCATTGTCCAATAATTCAATAGCTTATATATGTAGGGCGAGTATGGTTTATATAGCCTTGGCGAGTACCTAAATTCAACCTAAATTCAACCTAAATTGAAGTGAGCCGGTGGAAGACTCGGATAGACTCGGGAGACTCTCCGACCCCAGCTGCGTCTCGGTCTATGGGGAAAGGTCAGTCTTCTAAGCAGGGGGATCTTGTTATTGTTTCAGTTTCCAACTTTTTTTCCTGGAGCATTCTACCTGGTTTATATAGCCTCGGGTCAACCCAAGGCAAAGGGGCTAGCCGCAGGGCTGCGGAGTCGATGGATTTTAGGGTGACTCCGACTCCGGGTTCAAAAATAGACTCCGACTCCGACTCCGGACGGTTCTATTAAAATCCATACCATGAATCATGATATTGAAGTTCATACCTAAAAGAATAGAGACGTTTTAATCTTGCCTGAAACGATCCCTTGTGCGTTCCAAGGCTTTGCGTTGCAAACATGCATTAGAAATGGCATGCAGGATTAAAAAGCACGTTCTTGGGAATTCACCGTCTTCTGCTTCTCTTGCTGAAAATGTTCGTTCAAAACATCAAAAGGGCCTTTTTTTGACATTAGCACAGTATCGTCAATCAAATACCTAGCCCTAGGTGCAGTGCATGACATTGAGCCACGCAGCATTAACTCCTACTCCGGAGTCGGAGTTGGTAATATTTTGGTGACTCAAACTCCGACTCAGGGCAGAACTGTAGACTCCGACTGACTCCAACTCTGACTCTGACTCTGCAGCCCTGGTCAGCCAGGTTGAGGTAGGTAGGCACTATAATAGAGGTGTCACTTTCAGAAAACGTATGTTCAAAGTCCGTCCAATGTCCAATGCTTACGTCGACTGTCCGTCCAAAAATGTCCAAGCCAGTCATTTGTCCAAAGAGGTCCGACACCTAGGCAATAGTTTACACTCAACACTGTTATTTAAGTTGCTTTTCATATACCGTTACCAGCTCAAAAGTGGTAATCATATTGAAAGCTGTGCTTTCTAATAGCCAATCAATGTTAAACACGATTACTTTTTAAAAATGTTGAGGTGTAGCAAGTGATTGTCCAAAGTTGTCCAAAGCCTGCTGCCATTGTCCAACCAAATTCCGAATTGGACATTGGACAAAATCGGAATTCTGAAAATTCAAGTTCCGATTGACACCACTAGTAGGCACTGGTCACTCGTATGATAGCTGTGGAGGCTGGGGGATCAGGACTAAGGACTTAGTAGTTAGTAACCGTCCCAGCCTAAACCAACCAGACCAAAAATCCATGACAGACTGTACTGAACAACACCTAGAGGCACAATTGACAATTTATCATTACAAAATGCAGATTTTGTACTTTTGGTGTGAAAACTGTAATAAAAGGTCAGTTGTTCTTTGACCAACCGGCCCATTGTGTCTGCCTTAAATCATTTTCTTGGACAATAATGCACCAGCAAAGCAGTTCATCACAGTTTCATGCTGGAGCCTGCACTGCTCCTGACTCCAAAGTCTGCACCACACTGCTGCAAATCAGCACCACACCACACCACTGCTGAACAAGGGCAAAACATATTATGTCCTGGTGACCTCTGGCATGAGGTAATGGCCTCTGACCCAATGTAATTGTTTTTGCCTTTTCACGGGAGACCAGCTGACTGAGTGCCTTCGCACTGGCAAGAACTCTTCAAGAATACCATATTTTGCAGTCTGGCTCTTATGGGTCACATTTGCCCATGTATAGGACAGGAAGGGTCTTGCTCCCCCTCCAGTACAAAGAAGTACCTACCTAGTTTGTTCAGTATTACCACAGCTGTTGATCAATGAAGCTAACATAATCTATTAACTGCCTAATCCCATTATCCTATCCAGCCAAAACTAAGAATCATTCCATTCTTACAGCCCTGGTACAGAAAAGCAAAGTAGCATAACCCATCCTATCACCTGTGATGTCAGTGACTATATTCAGTGAATTGCATCAGTGTTCCATTTTTCAGAATTTTGGGTGGGAAGTCTAACCTGGATAGGGAAAATATTTTCATCCCAAAAATCGGAAAACTGACATTATTTCACCTTTGAAGAAAGTTTCGTGCATTCAATCAGTCAGTCCTGACCCCCCCCCCCCGCAAAGTTATTCATAACACTGCACTTGATGGGCCTAGTCCTCACTGCTAGTTTGCTAGATATTATATAGATACCTATTAGAGATAGCTATAGATATTATAGTGGTTTGCATGATCCAAGGGCTTTTTGGTCATTATTTTTACCTGGTAGTATAGTATGTGTTGAACTGGGAGATCTGGAGCAGGAGGTAGCTCTTGAAAAACAAAAAACAAAAAACTTTTGTTTAGTTTCTTTTCATCTGATCCATTCAGAAGGGCACAATTTTCTGTACCTAAATGATTGAAGTTTTCATTTTTTAACACGCGCACCGACAGGGGGGCGGATATCCGCCCCCCTGAGGTTTTTCGCGAATAGCGGGAACGCCGCGAAATTTGGTAAGACTGTTCTCTCATCAATTTTACACATGGTGTGCAAGTTTGAACCTCCTAACTTTTAACCCTCGCCCTTGCAGGGCATTTTTCATAACACGGCTTGACAGGGGGGGGGGGGGGGTCGCATCGACCCCCCTCGCGGTTGGCTCCTATGGCACCTAGAAACACCAAATTTGGTAGGTAGGTGGGCCCCCTGGAGTTCTCGCCCCTGTGCAAATTTGGTTGCTCTAGGTCAATATTTAGGGGGTTTTTGGGGGGTATAAATGTAAAAATTTCGCTAAAAACAGGTCAAACGTGTTTTCTGGCCTGGTGACCTGACTCAAGGTCACCCGGACCTGAAATTTTCAGGCCATATGTAAAAAGGTTGCCTCATAGGCTGTGCCAAATTTGGCAGCGCTGCGCGCCGCCGTTTTCACGCTATCTTCGAAAAACCTTAGGGGGGGGGTCGCATCGACCCCCCTGCCAGGGCGAGGGTTAAGGTCAGGTCACCAGGTCACTTTGAATGACCCAACCTCAAGTCACTTTTTTGCAACTTTGTCACCATGCCAGAGCTACAGTAGATGTCGGAGGCCTTTGTAAGTCGCAGGATGTTATGAGGTCATTAGTCAGGTCACACGTCGGTGCGCGTGTTAATATAAGTAATGACAATCTTTCAAATGATGGTTGTTTTTATCTCTTATTCATTTCTCTGCTTGATAGATGATGGACGAACTGCATGAGTTCCACTCTCATGAGGAGGAGCTCAAAATTGGCCATGGGTCTGGTGAAAGCAGAGTGGTGCACGACTACATGTGGCGAGTGCTGAATCTAAACATGATGCTTGGAGGCTGTGAGCAAGGGATCAGTCCGCCAGCGGCCGCGCCCCACTTGCAGCACTTACAGCAGTGGATGGCAGAGCTACCCATCAGCCATATGCCAGCAGCGGGCGCCGTTCTGCAGCGTGGCGCCCCATCGACGCCGCCGACGGCCAGCGCTCACTGCGACGCCGGCCAGTACGCGGCACCGGCGGACACCCTGCAGCAGGGTGGGGAGCGCCGTCCGCCCCAGCACGTGTCTGCGATGTCGAGGTCACTGTCGACCGACCCGTGCGCCGCCACCGGCGCCGAGCTCTCGCGTCAGTCGCACGGCTCGCCGTCGTCGATGCCGGCCCCACCTCCTCCCAGTCCGTACGTCGGCACCGAATACGGTCTGCAGGCACCGCCGCCGGTGTCGGGGCTGTACCCTAGCCTGCCACAGCCAGTGCACCAGCAGACGTCGCCGCCGCTGGGCCTGGAGCGCGGCCGCGAGTCGTTCCACCACCGCCCGACGGTGCCAGCTGCTCTGCCGTCGCTGGCTGGCGGCGGCACCGGACCCGTTACGTCCGCGTACCACGGCGCGTTCGCCGTCTCCGCCAATCCTGCGTCGTTCCCCGCCGCCCCTGATGAGCCGCAAAAGAAGCAGCGCGGTCGGAAGAAAGGTCAGACAAAGAGCTCGGGCGCCTGGGTCGCTCACAAGGTGCTCGGACGGCCTGTAGGCACCACGCGCGCCAACGGCTACAAGGTGGGCTCGCGCGGCGGCCGCCGTAAGGGAACCACGCGCGCCAATGGCTACAAGGTCAGTGGCGGCCGGCCCAAGGGGACCACGGCGGCGAACGGGTACAAGGTGAGCCCGGGCCGACCGCGCGGTACCACCGCCGCCAACGGCTACAGAGTGGGCCAGGGCCGGCCCCGCGCGGTCAAGGCGGACCCTCCGCCGCCCGATGGGACCTTGCAGGTCGACGGTAGCAGGGACTATCAGCCGCCACCGCCGCCTTCCACCCACCAACAGGCCGCCGACAAGAAAGCCACACAGTCCATGGGCTACCAGATCGACCAAGGTACGCTTCTTTGATACATTTTTTATTTCATTTTTGTTACCTATTATATTTTTGTTTGTCACCCTACTGCATGTTATGGGTGATGCCATGGCACAGGAAGGTATTTCATGTCGCTTTCGTGAAGTGATACTCATTAAGTCATAAGCTTAAACTACCGCTTTAAGAAAAGTTTGAAAATCTCATTTTTAGTTTAGCTTTTCCCTAGAATCATATGTCATGTTTGTTCAGACATTATGTTTTAAGTCTTGATGTCATTGAGCTTGGGCCTGTTCGATGACTACACGGTTTACGGCTACTTGATTATCAGGGCGATATCGTCGGAAAATTCATTGAAGAGATCTGACTAGCCAGTATCTATACCTGTCACTAAACCAGCTCAGCATCTCAGCGGAAAAACGAGCATGCTGCTGAGGTGGCCAAAATCCGGATCGTACCGCTTCAGCGTTTGCTATTTAACTTCCGATAGAGATTTTCGATTGGGTTTCGGTAGAGTTTCGGTAAAGCTATCCGGCTGGGCAGTGGGCGGGCTGGTAGTACGGGCTGTGGTCCGCAAGTTGGTGGACTCCTAGTACGGGCAGTCCGGCAGTGAGCGGGCTGCTATTCCGCTCTCAGGTACTCAGGCGTCCTGCCTTGGGGATGGGGGTGGGGGTTGGTTCCTGCCCAGGCAGTAGGTAGCGGCAGCAGACGGCACACTGCCGACTGTTGAATGAACGGGCGGCAGTGCGCGGCCGCGCGGCTCAGGCCGGTCGATGGCTCTGTGCCGACTGTGCTGTAGGACGGATGGCGCGGCACGCTCCGACTACCAGTGTACCCCAGATGGGATCAATAGCGACCTCTCCGGGACAGAAATATCACAGAGCGGCTGCACGGCAGTTTCCATCGCCCCGCAGCGCTGTGCGGCAGAGTCGGGTTTCACAAAAACATGGTCTGCCTAGTTCAGCGGCCGCCTCAAGTAACACTGACTAAGGGACTAGGCTAGGGATCACTTTACATGTAAACCCGCCACACAGCAATTTTGTAAGATGTCTGTGATTGAGATGGCGTCCTTGGTTGATGCTGCCTGGCTGACAGATGAAGCTGATCTACATAGGTGAAGTGCTTGGAATTGGAGCGTGCTCAGTGCTCTCATGCCTTACACCCTATAATGTAATATACCTACTCGTAACTCGTTATATCCGCACGCACATTCGCAATTTATGGAAGAACATAATAAAACCTTTGACTTCATAAGGTCAGACTGCGAGGGCAGGTCATTGTCGGAACAGCAGTGGTGCACTGAACACGACTAGCTATGTCCAAGATTGTCCATGTCCAATGTCCAATGTGGATTGGACCGAGCAGTTACTTCGAAACATTGATGAATTAGCTGCGGTGGGTCCACAGTCACACGAGATGTGTTAGGTACGACGTCTTCGTCTTGAGTTATTCACAGGGCCTCGAATTTACCGTAACGTTAGTCCTTTTCATGATTTTTTTTCTGTTTTTGATGTCCTACTTTGACTGTTTTGATTGGTCAACATAAGATAACGTTAGGCACACAGTTTGCTGTACTTTTTTAGAGTTACTTATCGAGGAAGGCAGTGTTCAGCCGATTCGCCCGGACTTTGTCCATGAGTCGCTATGTGTAGTTGACGTGTGTGCGTACTGCTGCGTGCCCCACTCTTTCGACAGTGGCTCCTGTGACGATCGAGGTGACGCCAGACCTGCCCGGCGGCGGCTCCCCGGGCTGGAGCCCGTCACGGCCGGACGTCACGCCTCCGGCCGCCTACCAACCGCCGCTCGCCACGATCGGCGGCCGCCAGCCGACCGTCGCAGCACAGACCGTCTCGCCCCAGCTGAGTGTTGCCGCGTCGTCCACTGCGTGTGTCGAGGTGGGAAGTGCCGGCGGCGCCGTCTACCGGCCGCCGCCGGCTCTCGCCGCGCCGCCGGGGGTGCAGGTGTCGCGGGGTGGCGCGCCGGCCGAGCCCGGATACCCGCAGCTCCCCGCCGCCCACCAGCGGCGGCCAGCGGGGCTCCCGGAACTCGAGCTGCCGACCGACCCGGTCCACAGGTCGCACTCTGTCGCTCGACTGCCCGCCTACCTGTCGCCCCCGGCCGGCCACGGCCTGCCATTTCCCCCACCGTTCACTGGGTACTCTCAGTTTCCGGCGCCGGTGTCGCAGGCTGGTCGCTGCCGGCCTCCGGTGCCGGGCGGGGGTCTGGGTATTGCGTCTACCGGCGTCGCTCCAGGGTCAGTTTCCACCTCGGGAATGGGTATGCTCACGACAGGCTGCCGGCCGTACAGCGATGTTACATACAGTATGGCGGCTTTCAGCGCCGCCCGACCGTTGTATGCCCCGCTTGGGGCGCCAGACATCAAAGAGGAGGCGCCGGACGCCATACCGTGTGGCGGCGGCGGTCGGTACGTCGCCGGCTCGCCGCCCCACCCGATGGCGGTCGACGTGTCCCCGCGCGGCTACGGACCCCTCTGAGGGCTGGCGCTGGGGACCGAATAGAGCCACCAGTCGCGCCGGTCGCTCTCGGCAGTACCGATCGCCAGCCGTCCGCATCGCTCCGGAACCGGCCGTCGCCGCGGTGAAAGAGCGCGCGTGTTGCCGACAAGTGTTCTCGCACCGCACACGCACCCGGTCCGGAACGGAGGACGCGGCGAATTAGTCCGGTCTGCCGAGAGCAGGGCAGGGTCCACCAGCACTCCCACAGCACGGCCACGTGACCGTTGCGCCCGCTGTCGCCCGTAGATTCCTCTCCTGAAGGTCTGACCCGTATCCTGAAAGGGTTTTCCCTCGGCGGATGCGCCGATTGTAAAGCGGCCAGTACGTTCCCGCTGCTGCCTGCGGCTCAGGTTGACGCTCTGGTTAGGGAGCTCGGCAGCCGCCTCCAGAGGTGTACTGGTTGATGTTTGTATGGGCGCTTCCGCCCGATAATCGCTGTCCCGGTGGCCGCCTGTCGGAGACTCCCGCCTGACGTGGAAACTATCTGACAGTGAGCAATTACTCACTGAGACTGACCGCGGGAATGAAAACAAAACGGGTGCATTGCAGCAGCCTTCAGTCTCGAAGGTGTGAAATTCTGCCGGATATTGTGAATGATATTGTCTCAGGTGCAGCCGTGGTCCCTGCTCGGACGCCGCTGCCAGAGGGGACTGATCGGGGGCGTGCAATCAATGGGACACAAGTATCGTTCGGTCACGAATACCCTATATTTGTCGATATACTTGCGTGTTGTTTTAATGTTTGCCTGGATAAGTACTGAAAGGTCTGCCATCCGGTGCAATGAACGTTGGCTGTTAAGTGTTAATGTCGCAGTTGGGCCTGCTCAATCGTTTAATATGTGTGGATGTTTTTATTGGAAATGCTTCACATTTACCACTTAGATAATTAAAGATTGTTAATGTGTCAGAGCTATGTATGTCAACCACCTAAATGTGATAGCGGGAACGCCATGCTCACATGGCAGGTAATAGGCAATAGACATGGCCCAGTCCTCACGGCACGGATGGGACTGTATTTATCATTTGATAGTTGCTGATATTTTTTAGCATTTGCATTCACATACTTGCATTCATACTAGTTTTTGTTTTGGGAAGAGGTGAAACTAAATGGGCAATATCAAAATTTAAGAAGCGGAATTGAGTTTGATGCGACTTATGTCAAAAGGTTGGCAAGGAACTACCTGATTCCGCAGTCACGCTTCTCAATATAACGTGGCTATATTTCTGATCTTTCGCCCAGTCCCACATTTAAATATTCTGCCCTGCTGGGTGGCATTTCAACATTCCGTCTTATTCACTCGGCTCCTAGGACGCGTAGCGAGAAGCGGCAAACGGCGTTGTAAAGGTCATCAGAGCATATGAAAGGACTGCTTATTCCTGCCTTATAACTCGCGCCCCGCTGAATTCAGTCGGAAGGCGCTCCGCTTTGGGGGGAAGGGGGGTCAGATTCTGCCCCCTGTCTAACTTCCGAACGGATGGTCGTTGAAAGACTGGGTACACGACATACAAAATCTGTCAACAAGGTCGATTTTTTTAAGCATATTTTTTATGGTCAAAAAGGTCAAAGAACCTGTCAAGGTCAATTCAAAGTTACTGGTAGCTACGTGAAGTAATTGTATTGCAACATAGACGACAGATTACAGTCAGAAATCTTTCACTAAAAAAACTGACACATTTTATTTCTAAATAACCATTTCAACACTGTCACGGCGATTTATCGGGCGCGGCGAACCACCCTGAATACGCAATGGCGACGACCTTGGAACTATTTATTGTTTACGTGTTTCCATGTGACTGGGGGGTGAGCCCAAATGAAGGGAAGACCATGAGGGGAAAATGGAGGGAAAACGTGCCCTATCACCATCCCCCCCCCCCTCAAGACGCATGCGTATTTGCAAGATGCGCATTGCGTCTAACACAAAACAAATATGTGTACCACACACATAGTGGACACACGAACTCAATCTGGTCCGCCCAGCGCACGGTCAGTCGGGCGGGACGGCGACGGCGGCGCGTCCCACGGCGCACTGGGCTGGGGCCGTCGGCGCTGTGCCGCGGCGCCGTCCATCCGTCCGTCGGCGCAGCGGCGGCGGTCTCTTCCGTGCCGTTGAGTGCCGAGATCGGGGCGGGCCGCTGCCGACGCCCGGGTGCAGGTGTGGCGGCGCCCTCCGAGATGAGGGATCTCTGGGGTCGCAGATAGCGCCGGTTCCGCCAGTAGATTCGGCCACTGGGCAGCCGAACCAGGTAGTCGCGCCGCTGTCCGACTGCCGTGCTGACGCCGAGGCGGTCCCATAGCCCCGACCGCGGGTCCTGGATGAGCACACGCTGACCCATGGTGAGCGCGCTATGCGGGTGGGCTGTCGTGTCGTACCGCTCGGCTGTTTTCTACTAATGTGCCTCGGCCCTGGCGTCACAGTCGTCCGCCGCCCGCTGCCAGCATTCGGCGAAGGCCCGGTGGTGCGCCGGCACTGCCGATCTCAGGGGTGGGCGAACAGCACCTGAGCCGGGGAGCGGCCGTCGGCGCGCGGTGTGTTGCGTAGCTCCAGCAGCCCCTGCGCGTAGGCGTCAATGTCGAGGTCACCGCTGCTGGTCACCTTTTGGATGAGACGTTTGGCTGCCTTTACCGCCGCCTCAGCGTGCCCGTTTGACTGTGGGTAGTGCCGTGGGGCGTAGAGATTTGGTGCTCCTATCCCCAGCGGCGCAGGAATTCTCGGGTGAGCCGGGCGGTGAACTGGGGTCCACCGTCTGTCCGGAGGGTGGCGGGCACGCCGGTGGCTGCGAACATCTGGCGCAGGCTGCAGACCAGGTCTCTTGCAGTCGCCTCGACGGCCACGTGCGACACAAACGGCCACCCGGACAGACGGTCCGCGTATACCAGGAACGTGCGACCGGTCCAGGCGAAGCAGTCAGCGGAGACAGTCTCGAACACTCGTGACGGCGTCTTTTCCGGCATCAGTGACTCCTTCTGCTGACTGGGTAGGTACTAGAGATGCCCCAAATTTGCAATTTCATTACCCGCCCCGCCCCGCAGCTACCCCTTGCCCAACCACAACTACCCGCAAGCTGATTTTGGCTGAGCCGAACCCGCAAAAAACCCGCAATCTTAAAAACATACTTTTGCAAGAAAAAAAATACAGCTGAGTCAATGCTAGAGCTATATAAACCTTACTTGCTTCATTGCTGTGCAGAAAAAGACAGCCAAACAAATAGTAAGGACTTGAAATTGCTATGCTAAGTCCTCAGGAAGTGCACACTGGATAGTGGAAAATGAATAATGCATCAATACATTTGAAATTCCTTTCTGAAGAGTTCAGTAAAATCTTTCTCTCACCTTACCCTTCAGCATTGGCTGAGGATCAAAATTTCACTCTGGCTCCCTCTCAATGTTAGGCCTCTGGAATGATATTGTTATCAAAATGAATGTTGATATAAAAAGATATGCGATTTCCAGTTAAAAATAAATAGTGACACAGTGAATAATGAGTATCCAGTCGATCTACACATAAAACAAATCATGCAAAATCCCAGCAAAAACCAACTATAATAACATACATGGCCTTGCAACTAATCACCAATGAACCACGCATTTCTGGAAACATGCACGAGAAGCGTCACCAACAGCTGATTGCAAGGAATGTTACAGCGACTAAATTATTGCGGCCGTAGTTAGTCGAACTTGTTGCGAAAACACTGTTGTATAATGCATATTCATGTGCCATTCTGATTAAATTATTTTACACAACAGCTAAAGTTTTACAATTCAGAGGTTAATCACCGGTTTAGAAATAAAGAGACAGTAAATGCTAAATTAAATGTAATGATTTTATAGATGGTCTTGGTAATGCTCTCCGGCTGGTCATCTGTCGGCATACAAATGATAAGGACGTAAAAAGACAAAAGAAATAAATGCGACCAGCTACGTGGTTTTGTAACATGTATAACTGCTATTTTGAGGCATTCAAAAACCAAGACAGAAAAACTGATTGAAAATTATTGCGTCATCAATGACAGCTTTCCTTCGCCTCAGAGACCAAAATTGACGCAGTCAAATGCCAATCCTTGTCAGAATGTCGGAAGTGCGCCAGTATTGTATTGCGTTATGTTTGGGCCGGCCAGTCTATATTTTGATTTTTTGTAAGGGTAATTGGTGTGTTATTTTCGTAATATAGGGTGGAACAGGACATAGAGTAGGATAGGTAATCAATGAATTTGCATCAAATTTTGTTTAGCTGATAGCTCTTTTTTATGCCGACCAGACGCAAATAAAGTAACATGTGGCATTTGCTCTGATTTTCAACATCTCATTTAAGTCTGGGTTCTTCCATAATGTATATCTAGTGCACACTGCACAGTGCACATAGACTTCAGTTCAGCTTCCTATAAGTTTGCTTTCAGGGTCTTTTATGTTTTATGGAATGCTTTCATCAGCATTTATTTATGCTTAGTAGTTTATTGCTTGTACCCTGGTTTGGTCATTGCCAGACTGTGGATGCTATTGCTGGTTGTTTTCAGTTTTGCATTTGAAATGTGCTTCCTTGATATATTTTTATATTTGGTTCTGTTTTAAAAGTTGTTTTGATGAATATTGTATTGTTAACCTGAGCAAATGCACTTGGCATTGTGTTTTGCATCTAAAAAAATAAAAAAAAAATTATAGGTTCTTAAGTCTGACCGCCAAATACCCGCCACACGACAAGTTTTGCTTCTCGAACCCGCCAAAAACCCTGCGGGTTTTGAAAACCCGCAGAAAGCGGGTTCGCGGGCTCAAAAAGGGCATCTCTAGTAGGTACCGCTGGCAGGCCGGGCACGCTCCGACATAGTTTGCGATGTCGCTGTCCAGGAACGGCCAGTAGACCACCTGCCGCGCGCGTCGTTTGGTGCGCTCAATGCCCTGGTGACTGGCGGGTAGGCGCTCGAGCGTGGCGCGCCGCAGACTGGGCGGTATCACGAGCCGCTGGCCGCACACCACCAGGCCGTCGTATCCACCACCACCATCGGCGGCGGCGGCGGCGGCGGCGCGCACCTCTGTCAGCGCCGCGTCTTTGAACGGGTTGGGACCGTCGTCAGCCCCGTCGGTGGCCAGCCGCGAGAGCAAACTGGCGAGTTGATTGCTGGCGTCCCTCTCGGCTTTCTCGTCCTCAGGCGCCGGGTCATCCACCGGCGCGCGCGACAGTGCGTCCGGGGGGGGGGTCATTTTGCCCGGTTGCCAGGTGTTGCGACTGTGGCAGTGTATAAAAGTGTGAACTGTATTCAGACAAACCCAAACACTGAATTAGCAAGTTTCAGTCGGCTATTCAAAGAGCTAAGTAAATGACCGCCATATATTGTGATGAGCACAATGAAATGCAAGCCTTAAATTGCCACCCGTTAAGCGACAACAGTCGAAGTTAAACAGCACAAGGCTGACCTTACCAGCATCGATCCGGAAATACACTACACCACAAAAGGCTCCAATTTGGGGTTGGCACCGGGTTACCCCGCGCCGCCACCGACAGCCGACCCTCCACTACTCCTCGACGACTAGCCAACCAGTGGTAGCAACCGGGGTGCACAGAGTCAGCCCCAAGGCTGCACTCTCCCGGTGTATGAGTTGACGCGCCGTCACTCTACCCGTGTGCAAGATCAGGCACAAAAGGCCGTACCTTACGGGTTCGAGATCAGGACGCCAACTGACCGCTGATCAGCGACCGCCGCCGTAGTCAGCTCCGCCCAATTCGCCCGCAGGCGGCCGGTCACGTGCCGACAGCGGCTCACAACTCGCGCGCGCGTCGCCAACCGGCCCGGCTGGGGCTCACAAACTCAGGTGGTCACATTTCACAACATACTCCCCCTTGAAAATTAACAAATTTTCAATACAATTTAATGAAAATAAAGTCCTGCAGCACGCGACGGCATCACCGATCCCACAGCACTACGGCCTCCGCCTCGTCAAAAAACTCATCGGCGCTCACATCACTGTCTAGTGTCCAAGTGTCCACTCTACTTGGCCTTCATTTGAAGCCACTTGGGGAATGGCCCAGCACCGGCAAGCCTGGTGCATCCTGCGGCCGTCAGGTGCACCCCATCTTCTCTATACCACGGCTCACACCCTTTCATACCACTTCTTCTTCTTCTTCCCATCTTCCAAGCGAGGTACCGTCCCAGAGGAACCACGGTAGCCAATTCGCCCGGACGCTCCTCTGAGCAGCGTCCTCTCCAGACGGTAGGCAGCCGTACTGTTCCAAGTACAGCCTCTCAGCTCCCCAGCAAGCCGGGGAAGTGGACCCAGGACGATGACCTCACCAACAACACGGAGCCGCTGCAGAACAAGACAGGCCTGGCGGGCGATCTCCTTTAGTGAGGCGTCGCTATATCGTGGGAGGCCGGACAACTTGCTGTAGATGTCATTACCCGTGAGCCATACCACGATCATACCGGTGGCCTTGTCGATCGCCGCTGCCGCCGTCTGCCAGGACGTGACGGCCTGGTCCACTTCACTGAGCAGAGAGGCCCATGTGGCTCCTCCTGGGGCGCGGTTGAGGATCCTGTCTTCCCCGGAGCCGGCTGAGAATTCGGCCCTCTTGGCGACAGAATCCCCGAGGATCAGGTGCAGTCTGCCGCAGTCGGCGACAAGAGGGCCGGAAGGCCTCTCCGGAGACGCGTGCGCCTCAAACCAGACGGCCGCCTCCTCCTCCTCCTCCAGCTCCAGGTCGGACATGACGCAGCCTGATAAGCAAGCGGAAACGTATTGTTACCGACGAAACCTGTC